AATAAAAGCGGTACAAGAGTCCCGCAATTTGTTTTCTGAGGCCAAGTCAAGATCTTGAAAAATAAGAGTTTGGAAGTTCTCATTTTAAAACAGCCCTTTTGGTTTCATTTAACATTTTCAAAATAGCTTTCCTTACCACTACCAACACCCCCTCCCCCACTCGTCACCAACCCCCTTTGAAAAACTTGAAAAGTTCTGTGTTTAACACAGAAAATCATTCATGTGCCTCAGAGGAACGGCAACATTTTTCTTTCTAAATTTCGAGGAAGAAAATCCAAGTTATCACAAAGCATTACTCATTTTTCCCACCTATCCAAAATACCTAATCTCATTTTAACTAGACTCCATCTGAACATCAGTGATACTAAGCTGGGCCATGAATAAACATGATGTCACAACGTGAAACCCTGTGACTGAAGTATATAAAAAATGTCCCTGGAAGAAAAGACTCCAGAACCCCCATCCCACCCACCCCCTCCCGGGAGACCTGGAGAGCTGAGCTGAGGAAGGGTGAAAAACAGCAGATTTAAATTTCAAGGTCTTCAAACATTTTCCTGCTCGTAGAAAAACCTGTAAAACTAAAAACTGATTCTCATACAAATCCTTGAGTGTGTGAGGTTTCCAGTTGCAATCAGAGTTTTCTGGAGTAGGATGTGTAATAGTGATAAAAGAAAAAAAACTCTCCAAACAGAAGAAATGCATAATGGAACCCACACTTCCCTGGTGTGTGCTATTTTCTTAAAATTTGCATACTGTCAACACGGAAAAAAAATAGACTTGGAAACATCTTCAATGGAATGGAGACATTGCAATGAGGAACCAAGGGGCAGAAAAGTTATCCACAAAAACAAAAGTGTGTCTGACTTGACTTGCTAAACTTTCTTAAATTCTAGAATAATCCAACTTTGGGCAAGATCCCTTCACTGAAAAGGAGGGTCACTAGGATAGGTCTCAAATTTTAACTTTTTAAAAATCTCACAGCACAGATCTCAGGAACTGAAAAAATACTGCTTTTGTTATTACTGAAGCTTTTCACAGAAAACATTCTGAAGACTCCAGTACATATTTTTATATCCTCGCTGTGTTCTGTGTGACGTTGCACTATATAATTGTACAGCTGTGTTCTTCCAAAATATATTTGGGACAAAAGGACCATTCAAATATGTGAATTTGGGGAGACTTCGAGTCCATTCCTGGTGGCATACACAAGGGGAAATGTAACCCCCTTCCTACTGCCTGGAACCCAGCAAACCGCGCTCAGGCCCAGCTCAGAGTTTCTCTTCATGTCATTTGGGGGTGAACAGGGGGATACCCACTAATTTTTAACTGAAATTCTATTGAGATTCTGATGCTGCAAAGAAGTTTTTTTTTTCCCAGAACAGACCAGAACATGTAAAAGATGTTTTTTTGATATGTTTGCCTTGTAACATTTTCATATTCATTTAAAAAGAGGTGAGGTCCTCTAATCTCTTAGACCCTAGCTTCCCTTTGCCACAAAGATTTGGGGTCTAAATTATCTGCTGATACCATAAATGTGGGGTATGTGGCCGTGAGCTATTTGGGGTATGAGAAGCAGATGCCCAAAGCAATTTTAAGGGGATACCTGGTCCCCAAAGGAATCTGAAATGTGTTTCTCAGGAAAGGTGCTAATTTCAATAAAGTAGTTCTCAAACTTTTATCCCTGACCTCGCCCACTGATCCAGGAAGGGGTTAGTTAACAAATGTTTGTTGAGCACTTACTTCGGCCCTGCTTGTGCTAAGTGCTCACTTTAAGTAAAACTGGCAGCTTCTCTGACTTCAGGCACTCCAGTGTCACCCCATTATTTCAGTACCATTTGTGATTTTGAACAAAATGCCAGGAGCATAGAAAGCACAAGCTTTTCACTTTAGTTCACAATACTTCTTGTACTGAAAACAACCAAACCCAGCACTTGTGTAGAATCTGATTTTTTAAATTAAAGGGGTATTGCAAGCAATTTACCACCGAGGAGCCAAGATCCAGGCCAGTTAGAAAGTGACAGAAACTAGTTAGAAACAGGACTACCTCCCCACCCACCGTTCTTACAACTGGAACTACCCAGCCTCAGAAGGGCTTTAATTTGATTTAATTGGAAGAAATGCATCAATCCCCCAGAGCATGGAGGGAGGAAGCAAAGGGGGGTAGAGGGGGTGTCAGCCATGGAAGGAAAGTAGATGAACACAAGGATTTTTTTGCCTCTTTCCTTTCCATAAAGGAGGTTTCTAGGAAATTTCTACAAACTTGTTTATAATGTATTCATCACAAACTGGTTTGCTACAATTTCTTTCTAGCCACATCTATGTTCACAAAGGAATGCAGAATTGAGAGGATTACCCAGATGTATGTGTGTGTGTGTGTATGTGTGTTAGTAGGAGTCCATCAAATAATACTATGTGATAAAGAATTCAGAACTAGAAGAGCCAGGGAAGAAAACGGGGTGAGTCTTTTCCAAAGGTTGGGTGCATTTGACGAAATTCTAATTGTTCAACAATCTATCTGATTTTATGAATAAAATTTTTCTGATTTTATGGTAACTCTTGCTACGTATTATTGTATTTTATTTCAACCAATCCCTCCCTCAGACCCAGAATTGCTTGTATCATAAATAACCATCACTGGCAAAGCACGAGAAAACTTTTTCACAAAAAGTTATTTCTAAATGTTTCCTTTTCCAATTACATACTATAATCAAAATTTAATTTTTTATGCGAATAATTAAATATCTTAGGAGCAATTATTTGATTCTCTCTTCTTTTCACATAAAATGAAAACAAATTTCGAGCCTTGGGTTCATAGCATCATTTATTGCTTGGCAGAGAGAAAAGAGGCGTCCCGGCAATTATTTGGATAACTATAAAAAATATTATTAAGGGGGAGATGTTCTAGGTTTTATGCTCTGGGTGGACTCTAGAACACACCAGAAAATAGTTTCTAGGGGTTTTTTGGGGGGGGGAGTCACAGTCAGAGACTTAAAGGAACCGTTAGGAATTATCATCGAGGCTCTCCTCTCTAGGTTCTTGAGTTATAAAGCAGTTTTTCCTACTTAGAGGAAAATCTTTAAAAGTAGTGCCCCATAATCCAAAAATTAGGAGTTCCTGACTGAGCCTTCACAAAGACAATGTGCTATTTCTTGAGAAACATACTACAAGCGGGGGGACTTTGCAAAAGGTTTTCTCTCAAATATGAAACAAAAGTCCGGATCTGTGGTATTCTGCAGATTTTTCTGAGGCCTGCCAGAGACCGGTCCTAGCCCAGATCAGGCCAAGTGATAATTAAGGCCCTTAGAGGGAACACAGGTAGCTGAGAAACCTGCCTGCTCTCCTAACCAAGGAGGATGGAGAAAACCCTCCTTTCCCAACTCCTCAAAACTTCTTAAATATAAGGTGGACACAAGTTATTTTAAAATCTTGTTGCTGTTTAAGAACAGAGGCATAAATTCATCACAGTTCAAGACCTTTTCTTTACACCAAATCTGTATTGCAACTAACATGTACCTAACTTTAAGAGAGTTTCTATCCTAATTCTCAAAGCAGGCTCTAACGACCAATAGCTTATGAAAGAATTTGATTCCAACACATAGTTGCAAAGATCTGAATGAAATGTACAAACCATAACATACACACACTGCACAGAAATATAGTTTACTACCAACAGCTCACCAAGAGTTTATGCTTTTGTAAAAGATACTGGTCTCTAGAAAGAACAACCTATCCTCAATTATATTTAATATCTACGGTATATTACCATGTAAAGAAAATCACAATATTAAAGATAACTCTGTTTTCTTTTAAAAAAAAAAAATCATTCCTTGTCCAGTTAGCCAATCAGAAAGCAGGTCACATCTTGATAGCTGTATTAAATACATTAAACGTCATGAATTCTCTATGGCTCCATTGACAATTCAAGCAAGTGTGCTTTATTTTATCATACAAGCTTAATGGAGTCCCTCACCAGAGTTGAGAGTCCATCTTCAATCTCACATTCCACCAAAGCTATTCCCTGAAAGCTCTTTGCCATCACCCTGCGGGTATCTGAACTCAGCACAGGAGACTGAATTCCTAGCAATTTCCACTTCTGAAAGTGACTTGGGTGCTCCTCTAAGAAACTCCTCAAAACACTTCACACAAAGCCCCAACTTTCAAGCAAAAGGGCAGCCCAGCAGCAGGATCTGCCTGCCTAGTTAGCACAGAGAAAAAGTCAACCAGCATTAAATATTTAAATTGCAAGAGGCAGCCGAAGTTTTGCATTTGCAAAGTTCTGAAAGTCCTGTTCTCCGCTCCCAGAGTTGCTGGCCAGGAGGCTGAGGCTCCCAGTCTCAGGCACCAGATCACAAATAAGCAAAAACTGGAGCTGACTTGAATGTTGAGCCAGCTCCTGCCATGGTGGAACTCCTTAGGGGACACTCCCAAGCCAGATAGCAGAAAGTCAGGAAGCCCCTGGGCCCAAGCAACTGGTTTCTGAATTCAACACGGAAATATACAAACGCGTCCCTCCCGGGCTAGTTCTGCAAAGTATGCGGGTCACTCTCCTGCCCCCTTCACCTCGATTTGGATGACTTTCAAAAGCCAATGCAGGTCCAGGCTGACTTCCTCAGAGATGTGTTAAAATATGATTTTGCCACATGCAAATGAGCACAAAACCCCACTGGAATTATTCTATCTCAAGAAACACTGACGGGACCAACCCAGAGCCTGCACACCCCAGAGTTCTGGGAAAGCAGCGTCTCAGGAGACCCAGCATGCGAATCCAGCGCTGGGCTGCCGATTTCTAGATGCCAGCAGAAACTGTCCCCAGCTCCAAGAGTTACTGTCCCTGGGAACCCAGCCTGCAAACTACTAGATCTAGCCGGGGCGCTGGGCCCCACGGAGAGGCACTATCTAGCGGGACACTTTCCCATGGAATTCAGCAGCAGCACCCCAGGAGGCAGCCGGGCACAGTTGCAAACCAGACCCCAACCCACCAGCCAGGATGAAGGACTCACCTCGGTGCGCGACTGCAGCCTCTTGTTCATCTCATAGATTCGGTACTCGGGCTGCACCATGTAGGGTGTGTGTCTCCTATAAAATGGGCCGAAAGGAGAAGAATAGAAGGGGTCATGTGGTGTGCTGGACATCTTGCCTGCTTGTGGAAAATCAAGCTCAACAGAGTATCAGTAACGTCCATGCAGAGCACATGGGCTGTGTTCTCCACAGTACAAAGTAGACGCTCGCACACACAGGCAGGCAGGCAGGCTGAGCACACTGGCTGCGAACTGCTGTGCGAGCCTCTCTACCAGGCGGAGCGGGAGCGCAGAGGAGGCAGGCGCGGGAGGGAGGAGGGAGAGAGACAGCAGAGGAGGGAGAGGAGAGAGCAGGAGCTCTGGGAGGGAGGGAGGCTGGGAGGGAGAGAGAAGGAGGGAGACATGGAGGGTGGGAGAGAGAGAGAGGGAGAGAGAGAGAGAGAGGCTGGATAGCTTTAGGCACCACTGCTTGTTTTTAAAGAAGCAGTTTGTGGAGAGGTCATTTCCTGTCCACACTGTAGACTAGTTCAAAATAGAATTCTCCTCGCAGTCTGACAAGGTCTAAGGTTTGGTTTTAATTTTTTTCCTCCAGCCAGGACGCTTTACAACCGGCTTGCCAAGCTTGTGAGCATCTAGGTGGTTTAACCACTGGCTGAGCCCCTCGCCCCTGACAAGCTGGCCACGGTGTGGCACATGCCAGGTGACCACACAAAATACGGGACCCCACGGTCCCCACCCCTCACCGCTGGGCTTGGACTGGGGGCTCACTTGCAGATCCTCTTCTGCACCAAGCTGCCTCTGTACTTTTGGGTTTACTTCTGGTTGCTCCAAAAGCTTGTCAGGGTGTTTAAATGCCATTCCCCTCCCTTCTTCATTCACCCCTCTTCCCAGCAACCCCCCCCCCATCTCTTGAGCCTCCATTCAAGCTGCTGTAAGGGGGGAACCTGGACACAGGAACATTTCTGCCAAAGGAAAAAAATCATTCAGAATGTGGAATCCCGAAAATACATGCATGGAGAAAAAACAAAAACACAAAAAACTCCAGGAGCAGACCTCCCAATAAGATAGGAAGGGCAAGAAGGAGAAAACTTCCACCAAAATGACCATGGAAAATTCAGTTGAGTAGAAAATTGCAGATAATTGAATGGATCATCCCCAAATAACATGTCCAACTCTGATGGGAGACAAGGTCTTTATTTTCCCAGATTGGTTAAGTATATAAATCTTTCCCCAATGGTGGTATAGGATGACTGGGTGAAAACCCACACAGCCCACAGGAGGCACGAGGATCTCCATAGAGAATCCAGTGTTCTGTATGACAAGCGCATTTTTCCGGAATCAAATGAGAGCCAGACATAAACCCCCTCCACAAAGCCCAGCCCACAGAAAATGTAAATGTATAGAGTTAGCACCTAGCTGGGTCAGTGGTATTAAAAAATCTGAGACCACCAAAACCACGATGCATGCAAGACCTGAATGCAGATGCATGCAAATGAGACATTTCTTCTTTTTTAATAAGCAGATTAATTAACTTTCTGCCCCAATCATGGCTTGGGGTATCTCCAAGTCACTAGCCAACAGGGGATAAGCTATTGCTAATTCTGCAATTTATGCTCTTAGGAATACTCAGGCATAGAAATGCCCCCAAATTGCTGTCTTGATCAGTCCTTTTCTGCAATTGCATGAAAGGTTTGCAGTCACCCCCCCTCCACCCCCCAACTTCCAGTGCAGCCCCACAGTCTGTGACTGGATGAGATGGGGGAGGAACTGCTCTGAGCTGCTAGGAAGTGGTGGGAGAAGACCCAAGGCAGGCCCGTGTGCTGGGTTTCAGGTTTCATTGCAGATCCAATAGCTGGACCAAATCTGCTGCAAGGTTTGTCAAAACACACAACCTTTTAAACACAGGATTTCAAACAAATTTGGCGTGATTTATGTTTGGGAAAGATGGCTGCCGCAAAAAACGAACAGTACCTTGTGTTCCCAGTGTGGATCAGGGCCTGCCTGGGGTGTGCCCACATGGCTGGTGCAGTGCAAGGACAGGGACGTGTGGAGGGGGCACAGGGGCACGGCCCAGTGGGCCAACACCGGGGAAGAGGGCAGAGAGCCACTTCGGGGATCCCTTTCTGAACAAGGTGACTTCGGCTCTTGCTCATTCTTGAGGACCATTCCAGGCTATAATTGGGAATATTTCTTGCTGTTCATACCCACAGACTCCCAAATTCAGAAACAGCTGAAACTTGACAATGCCCAATGCCCCTCCTTTCTCACCCCTGCGCCTTCAAGAGTCTCCGGGCTGGCCTCCCTGCCCGCTTCTGACTCACCGGTCTTCGAACCAGGACGTAAATGTTGAGACTGCAAAGGGGCCACGTCCCTGCGCGGCTTCTTCAGGTTTTCCTGCTGCCACTAGGGAAATGCCCAGGTTCCTTACTAACAAGGCCCAGGCGGTGTCCCTCTCCTAAGCATAGCTGCCCCCAAAACACACTTTTTATTTATTTACTTATTTACTTGCTATGCATGATCTTGAGGTTGCAATCTTGCTTCATACACATGCACACATTTCTACTTTTATCCTCGGTCCACTTACAAACACCAACTCATCCTGTAACAGGGGCTTGTTTGGTTGTTTCTGACCCTTTTCTGTGGGTCCCCACTGGAAGATGCTTTAGACTTGTGGCAGGCTTTGGGGCCTTGCTCTGGGCCGATCCCATTTGGATGGACTTTTACCCACGAGGGGGCGGGTAACTTTGGGTGCTTCATTTAGAAACTAGACTCTTTGCCTTCCCTGTATTGTTTCCTAGTTTTATTAAAGTTCCTTCCCATTAAAGTCTCCTATGTTTTGTGTTGATGCGGCGGATGGCAGAACCCATTTAGAACAGGCAGGTTTGCGGGGTTTGGGCTGCCCCTCTCCCTGCCCTATAACAATCCCTCTATCCAAGGAAATGGTTTCCTCCCTTGGAACCCTTTTCTCACAACTCATTCATCCACTCCTTCACTCTGCGACACCTGCACACCCTGCACGGGGCGGAGGCTGAGCACCACTCAAGCCACAGACTGGAAACTTGAGCAAGCAACTTGGCCTCAGTATCCCTCAGTCACCCATTTTCTAAATCAGGGACAATGAGAGTCACAAAAACACAAGGTTACTGCAAAGGATTCGATGACAGAATGCTCTAGAATGTATTAGAATCCCCACACATAAATGCTTTAAGATATTAAAGTACTATTACTGTTATTAGGCACCTAATAATACAGTACTAACATTACTATGAATAGGTATGATACATATATGCTATATACCTATATGTAGCAGGTTCCCAATAATAGAGACTCGCTTAGGAGCCAAAGAATATGGGTAGGCCAAGTGGACACAGCTGATGGGCTCCTGGTCTTCCTGCCCCTTGAAATCTAGGGAAGTAAGAGAGAGACAGCGTCTAACTTCTAAGTTAGAAGAACTCATAAGCCTTTGGGAACACAGGACTTTCAAACTGTGGTGTGTGTTAGGAAAGAAAAAATAAAATAAAAAGAGCTAGAAAGTGATTTCTCCCCTTGGGTAAAAGTGTAGCTTGGACGTACTTCTGTTAGAGAATTTGCTCAGAAGCGCAGTCCACGCTGCCTTTATTGCATCCTTCCAGGGTCCCACCCTGTGCTTGCACAAAGATTCTTTGTTCATTTCACAGTGAACTCGTGTGGCTGATTCAGTAACTCTCCCCATTTTGCAGTCAGGGAGGCTGGGCCTGGAGACACAGGTGCTTCAAGGTCACAATGAAAAAGGGACAGAGCGAGATGCACTGGGTCAGCAGGCTCTGCAGGCTTCCCATGCCCATGCCGGGAGCCCGGGTCCATCCTCATCTTCAGGGCACCTCTGTTCTTCTTCTGCCATGGCCAGGGTGATCCTGACTCCACAGTGGGTGCCAAGGCCTTTCATATTGGAATTTGGTGGGAGAAAGGCAAGGGGGTGAAGTGACTTCCATCACCTGGATTTTACTCTTTGTCCGGCTTCATATCAGAGGTCCTGTACCCCTTGCCCCCACTGCGCCCCATTCTCCCTGGCACCTTGCCAAATACTCCCCTGTAGTCTGTGTCCCAAGTCTTCCAGAATGTACTCCTGGAGCTGCATGTTTGGGGCTTCAATCTTTGCACCATCAGGTCACCTAGTAGCTCTTGCCACTTCTCTATCATCCCTAGTTCCCTACTTAGGGGTGGTGGGGGGTGCCAGCTAGGAGTGGTCTTCTTCTTGCCGGTGGCTGAATTGGGGAAGTAGAAGGAATGACCTGTGTCTTTCAAGTTTCAAGCCTGCAAATCCAAATGTTCAGGACACCATAGGGATAGGCAATAAGCAATATTTGCATCCCATGACAAAGTGAGGGAGCCGCCCCCATGCATAGTCCTGCTATCTCCAATAAAGGAATCAGGCAACATTTTTTTGCTGGGTTTTTTTTTTTTGAACCAGCTCCAAAAGTCCTCACACACACTTTCAAGGTGTGCTTGTCATCATGCTACACTGGATTTAACCTGCACAGTGTTTGTCCTTTAATTTGAAATGCTTTACAATTGATAAAAATAAAGGATTTCATATAAAACCCAGATTGGCACCACCCTTTGTAAAATCGGAAGCTCTGGCAGCCCTTGGCCATCCCCGCCTTCACAGCAGCAGGCAGCAGGGCCAGATGACCAGTCCTGGTGGATAGCCCCACCTGCTCTCCACGCCACGCCATGCCCTCACCGAATGTCCCTTTTCCTTTCATCTTGGAGTCCCTCTTGGTTCCTCAGTCATTGTCTCTTCCTTCAATTATCCTGTTGCACCCTCTCCGATTCCTTCTAGCAAGCTCTAGAAAGCTAGTTTTGCTCCAGAAAGCTAGTTTTCTTACCTCTCATCTGTCCCCCTTTCTGCTCTCCCTTATGGAGTTCTGTGTCCTGTCTCTTTCTGCCTCTTCATTCAATAAGTTTTGAACTTACCTCTAAGTGCAGGAGATGTGGCAGGGGAGGGGTAGAGATAAGCAAGCAGCTTGGTCTCTGCTTTCAAGCAACTCAAAGAGATGCAAAAATGGGTATCCTTCAATCACATATGTAAATGGCGCCTTGACCAAAAAGATACTAAGCACTGTGCTGGGAAAATAGCCCCAGGGGCAAAGCCCAAGGAAACAAAGAACTAATCCCCAACTCCTGAGGCAATCTAGAACAATTGGTTTGGCTTGAGTCTTTTATCCTGCATTTAATTACTCTACCATGGGCACTCAACCTTGTTGTGCCTCCTTTTTCTCAGGTGTAAAATAGGGATAATAACGATCCTAGGATCCTTATGAGAACTTAGATAAGGTAACACGTGATAACTGACCATAGCAGTGCTTGGCATTGAATAAGT